TTTCCATTTAACCTGCGTGAAAGCAGGATGTATTTTACAATGAATCAGCATGCATTGTAAGGCTTCTTTTTATTCCCTTAAGTCTATTCAATCAATAATGCATTTTGGAATCCAGGGGATATGGCATTATTTTAACTATCAAGAGACAAGGGGGCTAGAGTCCTGTTTAAGTGGCAAAAAGACGAATGGCTCTGTTAAAAAGAAAAAGAAAGAAAATCTTAGCATCTCCAGTGCTCATCAGACAATCCCCATGGCTGCTTTCCAGAACAGAATGCTCATTTCTCCCCTGAGCCCAGGACTGCAGCAGAGGCAGAAGCACCTGGACATTCCTTTCTGACTTGTGGCCTGAAACTGTACATCACTGACCCTTGCTGTGGGCTGGAGGAGGGGCAAGTGGTTATGAAAAACACTCCATAGAGGAAGCGCCTAGAAGGTTGAAAGGTTGTAGCCAGATACTCGGGCAGGTAACATGAGCAAGAGACATTGAAAGAGGATATGGGGGCTAAGGAAGAAGCAAATGCTATGTAACCTCCTGACAGTGTTGGATGTCTCAACTTTTATGTCCCACATGTTATCCTGGCTGCGAACCACCAGGATAGATTCGTTCAAGTCCTATTCCAGCTTTGAATTGCTGAAAGCCTGTGTCCTTCACAGGGCATAGAGCAGGTAGAAAAACTAGAATTTGAATATTATTTGGAGTTTAATTGTCATCAGTCAGTATCTTAATTTGAACTTTTAAGCAAAACACTCCCTTTAAATGTTATAGAAAGAATTAACACAATTTATGACAAACACAAAAAATGGCAGGATAAAGCTGATGAAGGACAGAGGTGATCATATTTTATGACTGTCTGGTTAAGTAAGCTATTTTTCATATGGAAGGTTATATTGTCTGTATTTTTTTTAATCTCCTTTCCTCCAAGAGAACTGTTACATATCTGTCCCTGTTCTTGACTCCCAGAATTTATGTTGGATATATACCTAGGAGTAGAACTGCTGGGTCATATAGTAACTCTGTATTTAATTTTTTGAAGAACTGCCAAAATGTTTTTCACATCTGCTGTACCATTTTACAATCCCATCAGCAGTGTATTACAGTTCTATGTTCTCCATATCCTTATCAACACTTGTTACTTGTCTTTTGAGTATGACCAACTGTAGTGAGTATAAAGTGGTATCTCACAGTGGTTTTGATTTGCATTCGCCTGATGCTAATGATGTCAAGCATCTTTTTCATGGGTTTATTGGCCATCTGTGCATCTTTTTTGGAGAGATGTCTATCCAGATTCTTTGCCCAACCTTAAAATTGGGTTACTTATCTTTTTATTATTACTGAATTGTAAGATTATATAAAGAAATGAGCTAGGAGTCCCTTACTAGATATGTGCTTTGCAAATATTTTCTCCCATTCTGAGGGTTGTGTTTTCACTTTCTTAGTAGTGCCCTTTGAAGTACAAAAGTTTAGAATTTTGATGAAGTCCAACTCCCCCCCCCCCTTTGGTTGCTTATGCTTTGGGTGTCATATCTAAAAATCCATTGCCAATGTTTTCTTCTGATAGTTGTACATTTTTAGTTCATTTGTTTAGCTCTCTGGTCTATTTTGAGTTAATCTTTGTATGGGGCATGAGGTAAGGATCCAACTTCATTCTTTGAGTTCTGGTGCTGGGGTCAGAGAGATGTGCCTCTCTCTGAGTGACACCCCCACTTTAGGAGCTCAGTGCTTGGTAGAGAGGGACAGTAGTCCCAGGGCCCCAGTGTTCTCAGGGGTGCTGTGCCCACAGCAGAGCCCCCATCCCATGAGGAGGTAGGACTGGGCTAAATAAGGGAGCCCGCACCCCTGTGCTGTATTTGATGGGACCGTAGCCTCAGCAACAGGCATCCAGGGACAGGATGATAAATGTTGATGTCCTCTCCCTGACAGGAAGGTACCCCTGCCCGTGGGAGCTTGGGGGAGAGGAAGCCCAATATCTGGGCTGCACCAATGTGGAGTGGAGTTTTCCTCTCGCTGAGTTGACTGGAAGCAGGGAGGGAGGTGTTTGGTTCAAATACCACAGACTCTCACGTCATTATTGACCTTTAGTGACTTTTCTTAAATGTTCTTCATTTGCCTTCTTTTGACTAGGATTTTGGACCACTTCCAGAGATTTAAATCATTTTTTGAAAATAATTTTTCACAGTTTTGCTGTGGGGTTGGTGGTGCAGAGAGGTCCTCACTGTCCTGCTGCTATTTTTGAGAACTCAAAACCAGTGAGACTGTGGGCAGTGGAAAACCAGAAAACTCAAATTCCGGTGCCCATATCATAATTCACTCGATAAATATTGATTAAGTATCACTTATGAAAATGACTCAGAACTGAAAATGGATTGAGTTGACCGTAACCAAAGCAGGGAGCTCTGATTTTGCAGACACACCATTATCCATACACTTCATGGAATGGCTGCTATGTGTGAGGTGGAAGAATAGAAGCTAAAAAAAGCTAAAAACCTATTTTAGAAATTG